ATAAAATTTCAGGTCTTGATTATAATGCTACTTTTAAACTTTGTTAAACCGCTAAATCGAAGTCGATTTGAGAATAGATTTTTCAGTTTTCAGATACTATAACCGTTCTGACTGTGGCTGGTATGTCACGAAGGATACGCTCAGGTTAGGAAGGGGAAACGCATATCAACAGACCTTGACACAACACCAGCTTGTGGCACTTAGAAACTGTCACATACCACTTCTCACCGGCACGTACGTATTCTTCATTATGTCGCTGTTAATTAAGATATGCTCTTCAGAGTACCTCCTCTGCGTGGCTGCTGGCTGCGCTGTCAGCCGAAGCGACGATCACTATGAAAGGAAACTGGAATTGCTTTATTAAATAAGCACACGCTGAAATGAGTTACTGAGACATGTAATGGACACATTTTTCTTTTGCAGGGATTCAGACTGAAAACAGCTCTGCAGGAGACTGACTAGGCTTGTATACAAGAGGACGTTACCACACACACACACACACACACACACACACACACACATACACACACATCCACACACAGGCAGCAGCAATTTTTAGGGGGTGTTGGTCAGGAATTATTTACATTTCGTGAAAATTATTATTAAATTAAATCCTTTTTGTTTCCCGTTGTCAGCAATCTTCAGGGCTAGTCAGGAAACATTCCCGGATGCTGATGCATCATAAGTAGATTCTTCTCTGACAGATTTGATAAAGGGCCATCAAACACCAACCCCATTTACACACACACACACCTTTGAAGCATTTTACAGAAGGTGGTACACATTTTTTTTTTAACCTCCTGCCCAAAATACCACAGTAACCAGTAATCTCCCTCCCGCTTTCAGTGACGTGACATATCCCAGCTTGCTTTTGGCAGTGGATTAATGGAGAGCTTTGAGAATTTTGTCCCACAGTGAAGCAAGTGATTCAAAAGGGACTTTGACTCCCTGATTTCTGACTTCATATCTCTGGCAAAGGAAAGACACAAACATGACAGAAAATGTCTCAAGCTCAACTAGTGGAAAATTGGAAGTGGTCTGGAGTTTAGTGTGGCCGACTGATATTGGCAGAGCAAATAATGAAGGCTGTGATTGAGATTGTTCTTTTGAAGGGGAGCCTTGAAGGCTGCCAAAGACCTAAATATTGTGTCTCACTTTTGAAGAAGAAAGCTGTTAGTTTTTGGAATTTTCTGGACAGGGCTTTTGATAGTGTTTGTGGCTTTATTTAGTGTTTATTTTGTCTTTTTATTTGCTCTTATCGGCGGCTTAAAGACAAACTTAGGAAACAGCCAGCCAATATAGCTGAAATCCTGACTGCCCGAGATTACATGTAGTTTATTCAATTCGGCCGGTAAGTCAGTGGAAACTAGGCGGCCTGGCAGCTCATTGAAGTAGGACTGTCAACAAAATATGTGTTCAGATGTGGATTTATACAGTCTCCACTGTATAGCGCATTCTCGGCTCCAGCTGGACGACAATGCAGCACTGTCCACATCGCAGGGCTTTCTCTTTGCCTCAGCTTTGCCATTCACATGAATGATGACCGAGTCGCTCCGCGCCTGCCTGACTTTTTCTTTTGTGTCGAGATGTGGGTCTCTCTCTGTCTCACTCACATCCGCACAGACACTGATAAAGGTTAAGAGGAGCAGTGTGAAAGTGGAGCAGCGCTGCCCTATTTTACTGGTTATGGATGAAGTGATGGGTCTGGTTCATGTAACTGTAGTGTATCATGTATTCCCCTGCAAGCCACTCCATGTCCAACAAGCTTTTATTGATTAGCATTCTTTTGCTAATGTGCAGAAGATACTAAAGGGATTTGGCAAAGCACCGCACCACTGCTAATCCCACATTAAAGTTACAATGCTTAAGATTTCAGTCCTGGTTGATTTGGTGACTCCCATGGTTACTGGGCGTGACAGCGAGTGTGATTTAATACAACAGGTCCCAGAATGCTTTGGTGCTTTGTCAAAAATACAACAGAAGAGCAACTGGTATTTTCAAAGCAGCCAAACAAACTCGTGTCGTGTTAATAAAGACATCAGTCAACAGTTGGCCTTTTTCCCATCATACCATGAGAAACTGCAGTCTCATTTCACGCCACACGCAGCACACAGCAGTAGGGCATGGTGGGGTTGGATACCTTGCTGAGGAGTTGCTTGCCGCTCTTCTCTCGTCTCGTCTCTCATTTTTTTGTTGAATGCTTTTAATGTTTAACTAGCAGCAGTAGGAATACAGCATACAGCTCCGACGTGGCGGCGGCAGAGCGAGCAGTGAACAGCGGGGCCGATGTCAGGGAGTTAAAATCACAATCAGTCACGATGGATTACATGCTGCATCATTCCCTGTGAATCCCCTCATGCACAGGTTGGCAATCTGAATGCAATTAACGAATGGCAGACTTAAAACAGAGGTAATTACTGAATGTAAATATAGTCAATGTCTATTGCCAAAACAAGCCAACCTTAGATATGATCAAAAATACAGTTGGAGTTCTTGTCTCCATAACTTTAAAGGTTCAGTTCACCTTACTTCCAAAAAAAAAATAAAAAAAATAACTACCTCTGTTCATCTACATTGTATTTGGGTGGAGGTAGAAATTTCAAAACCTGGATAAAAAAAACCAAAGCCATCTGCTTGACTAAATACCACTATGGTTTGTGATAAAATGTTTTATTAATGAATGTAAAATGTTGCCAACACATTAATTACATCTATTCACATTCACTCTTTTATTCTCTGGGTTGTAAAGTGTAGCTCATTGAATCCTGCACCATGGTGACAGAAGAGGACTGTTAATCACACCATACAGTGTGTTGACTGGTGGATGTCCCATATAATTGGCTGTTGATGGGTGCAGCCTGTGGTGTCAGAGCATGCAAATATGCCCGTGAGCACATCACTATTCTAATTGGCATCATCGCCATGATAACCGCTCTCTCCAGTGTTTCCCCTCTGTGAAACTCCCACTCTTCACCGCCACTGAGCCGCTGACGAGAGGAAGGTGAAGGAAGTGAAGATGGAAAGGTTTTTTTTTTTTTTTGAGGGGTGGGGGGGGGGCACAAAACAGAGCATATTCACATGACCTCTACATTCTCTACTGCAGTGACAGCTCTCTCAGCAGGTGGGAAATAAGAAAGGTACAGCATAAACAGCATTGAGGCACTGCAGCACTTGCACATCAGAATGAACAAGCACGAAATATGTGCACAGAATAACATATGCACAAAGTTGCAGATTCAAGAATTAAGATGCATTATTTAGAAGATGCATGCGTATAAATAAATGCCCTATAATTAGAAAGGTGTGGCATCGTGCTTCTCCTTTGTAAGCAGTTACTGACATAAAAGAGACTCTGACTGTGATACATATATTTAGATGACAAACTCTGCTGCTGTTGAGTAATTGATTCATTCTCTCGCTGGAGGAAAAATCGTTTCTTTTTAGGATTAAAAAGATCCACCATGTGTAGTTTCTGAATGTGTTTACTTTGATGCGCACAGGCCAGAAGAGTATAATTTGCAAAGTGATGAATCAATCAATCTTGTATTGTGTTGAATTCATATAGGACGACACACAGCATAACATTTAAAAGTGCATTCAATTTGACAAAAGTAATGCTTGACTACTTGAAATCAGAAAACACATCCCAGAACTGTAATGTATGTAATATATATCATATTGCTCTTATGGCTAACATGTTAGCAAGCGCCCACTTCATGTATTTCACATGTGGAGTAAAAATGGCATCCCAATGGAGCCCACTCTCTTTCCATTAGTGTGAAATGTTAATTGAATGTTAACAGCCATTATAGTCATGATTTGTTAGCTTCTGAGAGAAACACCACTGTGATGTTTTCCTACTAATTGCCCCCCCCGCCTCCCCTTTTGTGCAGGCTAAGTAACTTGCTTCTATATATGGTGGGTGGGTTAGTGAGAGTCCTTATAGTCGACCATATGTTCAGTCAAATCAAAACCAAAAGCTGACGGAAAACCTTTTTGAAAGCTTCAGCGCTGCAGGGATTAGCAGCACCAGCGATCTTTTGACATTACAGTGAGTCATTTCACTCAATGTTAATAGCACAAATAAGCTTAATGGAGCTTTAAGTATTAGCCAAAAGCAGAAAAATGAATGTGATTTATGTGCGGCCGATTGGTACAGTCATATATCAAGACTGATCACCTGCTCAGCTGCTGACCTTTTCTGGCTCACAAACCTCACTCTCTGTCCTGTACTCTGTTTGGGAAATAACCCCCACCACTAATAAGAGGAAGTTTTACTTTGCATGATGATGATGACGACTCCTCTTCACTTTGATGACTCCTGAACATAGTGACTATAACTTTTTTTACTTTTTTTTTTGAAGTAAAGCCTAACATGTTGTTGAAGTCATTATTGCAATTCCTCTATCACAGAGATCAAAACAAGCACTAAATTACTGCAATGCCCTTTCAGTGAAAGGTGAAAAAGAGAGAAATCTGCTTGCCACTCCGAGTGCGTCCCTGCAAGCAGGAGGCATGAGCTCTTGCATGAGGAGGAGGAGGAGGAGGGCAAAACCTGACAAATTGTTCTGTGACATCCTCACAGAGGCCCATGGGAGCTCGCTGGCATCGTTAAGCCCACCTCAGCGCAGGAAAAAATGGTGAATGACGCTGAGGTTTGTTTGCCTTGATAATGCCAAAGTCTGTTTGTGTCTGTGTCAGGAGTTGGATGGTTAATCCAGCCTGCATCTCAGGTCTAGATATCAATACCATGTTAGAGAGCCGTGAGGCGAGACTGGCTGTCATGCTTGAGGAGAAAAGCCTCTGCCCTACACTCTCTGTTTTCCATGAAGGGAGAGAGAGGGCGAGAGGGAGCAGACATGCACACAGTCTGTTGGATTTCCTCTCCTATTCAGCTGTATTGAATCAGTGTTCCTGCCAGCTCAGGACAAAAAGAGACACATGTTTGTGTGTGTGTCGTTATCATAACCAAACATTCTCTTCTGATTTGTTGTTGGCAGGATTTACGAGCGGGTGATAGACCCTCCTCAGATGGAGCTCACCCCAGGCAGTGGAGTGTGGCTAGGCCAGCACAGCCACAAGCATGGCCTGTTTAAGGTAAGAACCCACAGATGATGTGTACACACACACACACACACACACACACACATATACACTTCCTTTCCCATACCTGAACGTGCTTTGCATTCAAGATCGCATGGATAATTGGCCAGATTTGGAGTAGGCTGTGTGGGGAAGAGAGCCAAGTGGAAGATACAAGAAAGAAGCACTGAGGGCTCACAGAGGAACTGCAAAAGCTCAACGTGTGCTTTGAAACGCTTATTCCCAAGCCCATTACAATGTTGTCGATTTTTTAATCACTGCTCATTTTGTCAGGCTCCTGCATGCGCTCGCAGCAGGGAGGGGGCAGCGTGGTATCACCAAGACGTGCACAGGCTCTTGATATTCCCACCTCTCCTGCCCACCTGCCATGCAATCAATGGGTCTTTTATTTTTATCTATGTAACATATTGATTAGCAACCACAGAACCTACTGTGGTTTAAATTATTTCTCCTCCCCGTGCTTTGACACTATCGCTGCTGCGCATCAGCTCACTGTTCCTCTTCACTCTGCTTCCTTCTCCTCCTCCTTCCTTCATCCCCTCTCACACCGACACTTCAAGGAGCTTCCTCTTCTGAAAGAAAACTCTGGTCTTAATAGACGCAGCTCCATCATCCAGTTCCCTGTGTTGAGTCGGCTCAGTGCTCGGAGTCTGTGTTCCCCTTCATGTGCAGGGAGCACTCAAAAAGTGTTTGTCAGCAGCAGGGACAGATGGTAGGAAAAACGTTCAGGCTTGTGTCAAGTGACGGAGGGAATGAGAAGATTCTCCCTTCAGGTTTACACTGGGATGAGTTTGCATGTTGGCTGACAGGTGCACTTGTAGCACCTGGAATCAAGGACCTGTTGATCAGTGTATCAGAGGGCCATTTAGTGCTGCACCTTTTTTTTTTTTTGTATTACTATTTATTTTTCATCATATTTATGGGCCAAAACTTTTATTACTTTAAATTTAGTAGCTTTGATTTTCACTACAGAGAGAATAAAAGGCGCTGACAGATATAAGAAATAAACTGTCAGTATAGCAGGGCCACAGAAAATAACTCTAAAATGTTTGCTCAAATTGTAACACTTGTCCTGCTAACAGTAGCTTGACACTATACGACTAACTAAACCTGTTGACACTGGCCAACGAGTCCTCCAAGTAATTTGAAATCCTGTTATCCAGTTTCATTTTGTTTTGAACTTAAGCTCAGGATGAATGAAGCCAATTAATTTGAAAAACAGAAATTCTTGACTAATTAAACTCTAATGAAAGTTCCATATTTAAGGACCAGCTGCAACAAAAGTCACCGCACCCTTCATTAGTGAGATTCCATTCTTTTATTTTTGTAATCAAGTGAGAAGCACTCTACCCATCTGTTTTTTCAATGAAGGGCACATAAATAGTGAATTGTGTGTGGGGCGTTATTTTTCAAGGATGTCCACTGCGCCTTCTGTTATTGGTGGCTTGGCTCCCACAGCTCCTAAACACTGCTGCAACTGTGTTTCGGCTTATGTTCGGTAGCTCACTGATGCTCTTGTACCCTCTCCATCTTTATGAAGTCTCACAGTCTGGTTTCTTAATTGTTCAGGCAGTTCCTCACCATGTGGCGACATGTTGCATTAGACACAACCCACGCCAAAACTGTCTTCAGTTTTATAAGCTTGTTCATCCGCCCCGACGTCCGCCTAATGTGGACTTGGTCGCTCTGTACGCTACGTCACCAGACCTTTGCCTTATGCCCATCATGATGATGATGTAATAGTAGTTGAAATAATTTCAGAGTTCTGCTTAAATGTTTCATACAGTCTAAAGGTAGATTTCCATTATAAAGCAGGTCTAGGTTCTATATTAATACTGTGAAAGTATCAAAGCGCTCAGTCCACACAGAAATGCACACAGCCTGTATTCAGAAACTGAGCCTTAAAACCAGCCGTCAGGACTTCAGTAACTTTATGAGCTCATAAACAAAGCAGTCACCGCCCTCAGCTGTGCCCCAAGCCCCGCCCACCTGGACCCACTATCTAACCTTTCAGGATTTGGTTTCTCTGAGTGTTTTCCTGAAATCTGCTATATTTTTAGTCAATCACTCAGAAAGCAGTCAGCCAATCAGAAGAGATGATCAGAGCCTCCTCTCTTCTTATTGGCTCACTGACCTGTTATTAAAGCCTGAGAGAGGAGATGTAAATCTACATTGAGATTTTTGGTTCTTAAAACCACATATATATCTTCTTATGGAGGCTTAGGGTTATTCAAATCATTTCAAAATTATTTCCTGTTCGTATAGGTGTCCTACATGAACAGACAGGTCACAAACAGCACATTAGACAACCCATCAGGTTCCAATACCTAAGTTAGCCTACTAGCTATGTCCCTAGCTACATCTCAGCTTGAGGGTGCTGTCTATTTGCATGTTGGGAAGGTTTGACACAAACTCTCTAAAATCCTGTTGTAGTCTTTTGCCACAGTCTGTAAATTAGCTTGTGTCTGATTAGTTTAATCTGTACACAAAATAATAGGTTGTAGTTTTACAGGGAATTATGTGCTGTAACCATTTCTTGGCAAACAGTGGTCAGACACACACACACACACACACACACACACACACACACACACACACACACACACACAAACAGAGAATGACTGAGACAGACAGAGACAAAACATATTGTCTAACTTATCATCACTACTCCTTTGCAATTCTGTTCACACTCTCTCACCTGCTCCCTTCTTTAACCTGCTAAATACGAGGAGATAAACAGAGTCTACTTATGTCTCTTCGTGTCAAAAGCAGGGAGGGGTGAGGAGTTTGTTGAGAGAAGAATAAAAAGGCAAAAGGCGAAGGAAAGGGAAAGATGGCCATGAGCTATAGAAGTATCTCTGCAGATGGAGATAGGAGGTGAAATGAACCAGCAGCTGTAATCTATCCCATTCAGGATTCAGGAGTGGGATAATGATAAGATGAGCTAACTAGGCCTTTAAATAATACATATTGAGCCCTCGCAGTGGCTTGAGACGCTCCACGTCCTGGTGCCGCCTCATCTCGGGGGCCTCTCCATCTGAAGGCGCAACCGTAATAAATTATCTTTATCTAGAATCCATTGTGCCAAGGATGCTAACTCCTCAGGGACACTGCAGGCTCATTTGGAACCAGTGCTTTTGTGAAACGCTAGGTGTTTCATGCGCTACGGGACAGTAATTACTCTAGCACAGACAATGATGGAGAGCTTGAACACGTTACATAACGTAGCATGATGGAGGAAACGCCAGACCTGAACGTGAGCTTAGAGCTCTCACTCAATTTGCCTTTTACTTTCCTATGTGTCTGTCTCATAGTCTCCTCTGTTTCCTGCTTGTTTAAATTAGCTTGCTTCTGCTTTGTTCACGTCTTTCCCCTTTTTTATTTCAGCCTTGCAATATCCACAACATATTTTTCTCCTACCTGGCGTGCTTGCTCTGTTCTGCCCTCGATCAGTAGTAATACAGTAAAGTTTGGGGTATTTATCAGCTCCAGCTCTGATCGGCATTGATATAAAAACAACACCTGGGTGAACCCACTAATTCTCACCCCTTTTCCTGCTGTTTGTTGCACTATAGCGATATAGAATGATGGTTTAAGCCCCTAATGTCTGCACGTGGGGTTCAACTCTTTTTGTTACTTAATGGCTGCATTGACAATCTCTTACCAACACAGGCCGAGCGAAATCATTACTGTCCACCACTGTGTTGATTTCAAACTTTTGTATTCATTAGTTGGTTTATGTCAAACTAGAGCATGGACATATAAAGAAGTTACTTCTTTATAGAGATCATCTTCGGTGTCTCTCTGTTCACCTGTCCTTTGTCTCTTCCTTCTTACACTTGTTAATTAGTGTTGTTGAAGATGATTTGGTCCTGGGAGATGAACTGCAGGTGGAACTTAAGTCTTCACACCTTGCCAGATAAAGGAAAGGTCATGTTTTGCATGATCAAAGTGAGAAAGAAAGAGTTGCAGGATAAAGAACAGGGTAATAGACCTCAATGCTGCCCAAAGGCGAAGCTCTGGCCAAACATGCCTGGCCCATTATTGCTATAATAAACAAGTGAACTGGGAATTATGACAGTAAAAGTGTGCAGACAAGCAGAGTGAAGGTAATTTTATCAGCAATAACAGTGAGTGCACGTGGGAATGTTTGGGGACACCAAGAAACAAATGATGCATAAACAGTGCTTAAGCATGCACCGCACACACACACACACACACACACACACACACACACACACACACACACACGATTTGCATTCCTTGTGAGGACCTTTGTTAGGTATGTACATTCCTTTTCCCCTGCATGAATCATAACCAAACCTTAAACCAATCAAACCCAAAATGAAACCTTACATTATTCCAGAGAGCTGAAGTCCCATCACTTTTTCATCTCTTTAAAGATGTCTGTTTCCCATACAAATGCATGAAAACACATGCACTTACATTCTAAAGGTCTCTTCTTCCTGCATGTTATTTTCATTTTGATTTACCCATTTCATTTAGCACATGGCAAGACCTAAAAATAGCCCCTTTAAAGCTTCACTTCTTTAATTGTAAGGGCTCTTAAAAGCAAAAGAAGCTGAAAAACATCCATATCCATATCCAATCCCATCCATATTAGGAAATTATAAGATTGCTCCGGCCAGCAAAACTATTTACTAATTACTAATTACACACATAGACACAGAGGAACACATTTGGAGGTATTTGTGTTCACCTAATGAATGTAAGTCCAATTATCTTTCTCCTTCCAGCTTTGTTTTGGTCTCCTCCAACTCATGAGAAAAAAACAAAAGTTATCTAGTTGCTAACTTTGTCTGCCTGCCGGTTTGTGCAGGGCAGGTGGCAGTACAGGTGCTCTGTCAGAGGTTTGCTGAAAACAGCTGGCTTCTGGTGTGAGACTGAAACATACAACAAAACATAGCAGCATAATTTGCTCTGTGTTCAGAGCCTTGAGTCCTTTCATATCACGCATACTCCTTCGATTCACTGTTAATATAATATTGATTAGTTCAGACTTAACGCTGAACGTCAGCACATTTTTCTCCATTCATTTCAAATCCAGCGTGTCAGCTGCAGTGAGACAAAACAATGGAGAATGTGACCCTGTCCTAACACTTAAATACTAATGTAAATAACTTAAAATGCAGCTGTGTAATTGGACTTTTGTTATCATGAGGGAAAAGACATTATTCCTTAATAGTCCCATTAGGATTTGGCAGAGGAATGAAACACTCGTGCACATTTCTTCCTGTGTTTGTGTGTAAGAGTGTGTTTGTGTGTTTGAAAGAAAGCGAGAGGAGAGATTTTATGACTTCAGTTCAAATTACCTACTGATCAATGACAGTGATGTGTGGTCAGGCCTCCTATGTAACACCTCTGGGACAGACAACCGTGATCTGCACCTTCATTTTCGTTCTGACACTGACAATCTCTTCTTCACTGTGCATTTCTTCACAAAGCCTGTATGTGTGAGAAGGAGAGTGTGTTTGTTCTCAGTCTGTGCTGCAAGTCTGTTCGCCTCAAGGCTCTCTCTCTCTCTCTCTCTCTCTCTCTCTCTCTCTCTCTCTGTGAAATGGAGGCAGGTGTTGCTTGCATCCAGGCAAGCCAAATTCACTGTAAATGAATTTCACATACACATAAAGCAGAGATGAGTTGATGCCAACTGTGCTTGTGGTTAGGAATTCTAATGTCCCTCCAGTAGCCAGTTTTCAGGAGCTGCTTTGAAGGAATGGTGAAATTATATTGCTTTCTCATGTGTGTGTGTGTATGTGTGTGTGTGTGTGTGTGTGTGTGGGGTCGGGGGCACCCCAGTGTTTTACAAGTTCTGTTTTCCATTAGAGAGGTGCCTTTTTTCCAAGGTTGCTCCCTGTGGTTATCAAGAAGCCCTTTATTTACCAGCCCTGCACCTCTGGAGATAGCCTGTCATTCAGAGTGACTGACACACAGTCTGTTAAAGGAGAGAACTCTATTGGTTATAGGCCATTTACTGACTTCAGTTCAGTTAGGAATGGATGCTGTCTGCAGAGTGTGGTAGTATATGTGGTGTTCTCTCACCATTTGTACAATGCAAGCAAACCTTTTATAATATCAGTTAGTTATCTGATTTCCAGTTTTCTAGGATGCAAGGTTTCCATGACATTAGGCCAACTTAGATTTTGGAGGATTTCAGTTTGTAAATCACTGCGTGCACTTTACTGCAGGTCTTGGTCCAGATGCAGATCTTTTTATTGTAATTTAGATGATGGTGCAGCCTTGACAGAGGTATACACTCTGAGTGCTTTTTAGTTTAGCTCGGAAAAGAAAACACTCAACTTAAAAAAAAAATCCTCAGAAGAGTCGTTCATGTTCTTGGTGATCAAATATCTTGGTTTTAGTTTTTTTCAACAAAGACTAGAGAAAACCGATTCTTCTAAAGTGGGAGGGGTGTTCATTTGAAGTTTTGATAGCCATGAGAAGATACATTTGTATTGTAGTTTTCAATATAGTCTCTCTCAGGCTTCTCTCTGGATCTCTAGCAAGAACAGTCCACACAGAAAGCCATTGTTTCTGATCTCAGTGTCTGAATACAAGCTGTGTGCGTTTCTCTGTGGACTGAACGCTTTGATACTTACAGTATTAATATAGAACCTAGACCTGCTTTATTATAAGAAAAGGCTATGGAAATCTCACTTTCTACAATATGGGACCTTTAATATTTTTCGCCATGCTAGTGGCATGGCTCTACCGGCGGCAATGATGTCAGTCTGTCATAAAAGGGGTTTTGATTCCACAGCATGGAATATCAATACAGATGCTTTACATATCATTGTCTCTTTGTGCCTTCCCCTTCTGTGTTGCCAGGGCATTATCCAGGATGTGAAGCTGATTTTCGCTCCCAACGGCTACATCACACAGTGTCCTAACCTCAACCGCAGTAAGTATCTTGATGACACAGTCACACATAGTGTTATGAACACGCACGGAGAGCAAAGGTAGAAAGAAGAATGGACCCCGTCCATTACCGTGTGCCATTATGAGATTGGATTGTAATGAGCTATGTGTTATCTGGCAGTGACCTCTCTCCCCGCTGATCACAGACAAAGCCTCTCTCCATTATTTCTTCTTTCTCTCACTCCAGTAATCTTCATTTTGCTGTAATTCAGACTGTGTGCAGCCTCCTTTCTCCTCCACCTTGTTTCTCCATCTGTTTACTGTCAAACAGATTAAGATACAAGGTCACCGCTGTGCCACTGTGTCTGTCACTGATCAATAAGGCATGTAATCACACCTTGTCGCTTTATTATTGATACTAACACCAGCCACAAGCCTAAGACAAAGAGTAAACAGATGTGCGAAGGCTTCCCTTTTGTTTGCTGTTGGCCACCATGAGCTGTGTCCAAATAAATACAGTCAGGCTAATGATTTTTTTTTTTGTTTATCTCCTCACTAAACGCTTCCCTCTTTCTCTCCTTGTCCTTTCCTTCTCTGTTTTTGGTGCTTCCTTTTTCCTCCGTTGAGCTTGTCCGACATGCAGCGATTTCCTGAGCCTGGTGCAAGGCATCATGGACCTTCAGGAGCTCCTGGCCAAGATGACCCTGAAGGTAAGGACAGAAAACAACTTCCCACACAGAACAGTACCATCACCAGCTCACCAGCCTGTACAACAACTTAGACGAATGTGTAACATACTGCAAAACTAGAACTTACAGAGACTTTACAGATAAAAGAAAAACAATGAAAATGCAAAATGTTGGCAACCATGTCAGCGAAAGAAATGAAAGTATCCACTTAAAAGATCCTCTAATACCTTCCTCAGTCTGACAAACAAATAAATACATAAATAATATTATAAATAAATTACATCCTTCTGTTCTTTCGCCGGAGACAACCAAATCCTTTGATTCTGTTGCTGCCTTCGTTGCAATCCCATTGTTCTCTCTCCTCCCAAATCATCAACAAGACGGTGCCCAAAAAAAGATAAGACGTTATTGTTGGGAAACAAAAACAAAATGAACATGCACCTTAATCTGTCTGGAGAAAATCTGATTATTCTGTCAGTTATTATAGTGAGCGTGGATTGAAGTGGTTTTATGACTCAAAAAAAAAAGAAGATATTAATGTGCATGTAAGAGGGAGCAGCAAACAGACAATTACTTGTTCCCAGGAGGAGAAATGAAACAGTGGAGCAGTTTTCACTGTAGATATACAGTAGCATTATAAGAATAGAGAGGTATATGGATGCATTACTGTGCCTCCTTGAAGAGTTAAAGTGTTTGATTATCGAGTAAAAGTTCTGACAGTAAAACCTGACTGCGAATAACGATTGATAAAACAACATCAGCTCAAGCTTTTGACTGTATTACATGGTCATCATCAGCAGATTGAGTTTGCTTGGTTGCCGTGGAACTGTAACCCCGAGTTATAAATGAAGTGAAGAGGAGCGTTGAGTTGTCAGGTGACAAACTTAACCTCAGGTTTGGGTATTTTTGTGCTTTCATTTCAAAAGAAGGAAAGGATCAAAGATTATATATTTTATGAGCTTATGTCATGTTGTTTGAATCAGCAGTCACTACTGTGTGCTCCAGACGTCAGATGAATTAAATATAGAAAAAATTTACCTCTAAAATGCGATGGAAGAATGTTTCCATTCTCGGATTTTCCTCACGTTTGGTTTGTTCGAGGATTTAGTCAGTTGAACTCCTGCTCACATGTAATCGGCTGCTATTCTCTGTATATGGGATTCAGACATTTTATTTCCAGAGAAATGTGATGAGTAAATTGTGAGATATTCATAAGTATCCTACTTAAATACACAATATACACCTTACTCACCAATCCTCAGTAGCAGCTATATCTTTATTAGCATATGCAGGGCTGGCACAATAAGAGATATGACTGCTGAATATATCTTCTTAAAATTGTTTGTATTATCATGTTTATTTTCTTGTGCTGCTGCAACTGTCATTTTAAATGCTAGAGATTATGTTTTTTGTCAGCACGCACACACACACACACACACACACACACACACACACACACACACACACATACATGGGACGGGTACATACAGGGTTCAGAGAGGTGTCAGTCGACTTCACCGGCTCAGCAGGAGGCTAACAGGCAATGTGCACTGTGCCCTGGAGCCACAGGGGAGAGCTTGAGCCATTTATAAGACTACACATCTGCATAACTGTGTGTGCATGTGTGTGTGCTTCTGCGTGCATGAGTGAGTGCTATCAGGTGGGAGTGAATGAAGCAAGGACATCTCAGCGGGCGGGTGAGCTATAGAATAATTTTTGGTGTAAATAAGGGTGAAATGAAGAACATTACCCTACCGCTGTTCCAGCGTTGCCTCCTTCACATTTACGCACCTCGACCTATTGCCACCTGACCTCATTGCTCATACGAGTTGCGGTGGAGAGGATGCAGTCATCTCCAGCTATAAATGGCTCTCTGCCTTGACGCTGTAGAGAGTGGAGGAATTCAGCATGTGGTGAATAATTGCCTGGTCTTGAATGTGTGATGTGGAATGTCAAGGCAAGGTGGAATGACAATAAGCTTTGTTGTTTGTGGGGATTAGCACGGTGGCATTGCCATGTTTTCTATGTGTGTTTTTGTGAGAGGAAGCACAAGCTTTTGTTTTTGCCAAAACAGTAGAAATAGCTCAGTACCACTTTTTTATTTCTAATACCACAACATTGACTATCAATACAGATATATGTCCAATATAATGTATGTCCTCTTTAAAGGGAAAAATGTTGGTTAAAAAATAAACACATTTAATGGAGCTATTTGTAAGTTTTGCTATTGCTTCATAGCTAATGTTAGCATTAACAGCTGACGTACAAGTCTAGAAGAAACGTTACTATTTCAGCATCAAACTTCATTCGCCAGTGCCAACAACGCCAATGTTAACTCTTGTCTCTATCACGTTCTTCTACTGAAATATGCTAACCAGCTAGCCCCAGCCCAGCTAGCCCCTCCAATGGCAGCTCACTGTAGCTTCCCCGCCGACCCTGAAGACGTAGCGCTGCTCAGAGGGCGTATTACAACCTCTAGTCTTGTAAACGAAACAATGGCCGAAGCTCTGGTCAAGCATCAGTCACCACCACCTGCTGCTGGAGCAGAAACCACGTTCAGCGGCAGAGAAACCTTACAAGTAAACATAGTTTTATTTGTCGATGTCTCTAAACTACCTTCCGCCAAAAAAATAGTCCCAATAAAAAAAGTTGACTGCAAGGTCAGAGACAGATGAGTTATCTCAAACTGTCTGCATGGCTACATACTGCTAGAGGTTAGTTGGTAATATAGGCAAAACAACCCATTAATTCATGGTTACTGTCCAGATTTTGTGATTTTTAAGCTTTCAAATAAACTCCTCCTTTATGTAGGGGAGCTGCTAGATAGTCTGTGAAAAGAATGTGGCTCCAAAACGATAAAGATCCCTGCCATGTTCCAGGCTCCCTGTTCATCTGTAATCACCCCATATCTTCCATTTGATTTGTCTGGAAGGAGTTATTTGGGATTTTTTTTGTTGCTTACAACAACATTTTCTTGGTTTCTCACTTTCTTTCACTGCATTTGTATTACAATACAATATGTAGGCTGAGTCTGAAAGGCTAAGAGAAAACAATGCCGCTACCTGATGTAAACCCAGGCACATTATTACTTATCACTTACATTTTAAGATTCTCTGATCAGGTTCTGGATTCTCAGTGTGTTTGTTTCATTGTTGCGGCTAAAATATAATTACTTGGTGGCAGACGGCCCAGATCTGGATTACAAACAAAATTTAATTAATTGCTCAGTGGCCCAAGACTGATTGGTCCCCAGCATTTCATGGAAACGTATTCATACATGTTTGACATATCCTTCAGACACAGAGAGAAACAAAAGAGATTGAAGGTAATGAATGCAGCTTTTCTCTTGCCCTCCTTTGTTTCTACATTGTCTTCAGTTCATGTTTTATTATTTCGCTCGTGTCTCTCAGCCTTTTTGTGTACAGTCTGAGCTCTCAGCCTCATGTATCAACCATAGGAGATACATGCCTATTAGCCTCTGACTCTTTTGTGCAGTATCACTGTGCCATTTGATTCTCGCGATGTACTGGGAAGGTATTCCTCTGTGGTGCCTCAAGGCAGCCTCCCAGCCTTTGAAATTGCATTTCAAACATTTTGTTTGGGGCTTTGACAGGACACATCTCCACTGCTCACGGCTCACACAGCTCTCCAGCAGCCAGCCGGGACTCCTCTAAATGAAGTAAAAAGTCTTAGTGACATCCAGCATTTTTCTTTTTTACTGAGAAGCCTCTATCATTCGTAGCGAGTCCTCTCCTTCTGACACCGTGGCCTGGGCAGGTCTCAGAGGAGCAGAGGGGGGTGGCGGCAGAGCAGCAGAACAGCCTCGACTGTCTTAAGTGGGCCTACAATTTCTGAGTTGACCTCTGCTGGTCAGATCAATTGGACCTTTTAGAATTCCTCCACCTTTGCACCTTTCAAACAGGGCCCTGATTGTTTATATATGGCTCAGGCAGATCTTGTGTTTTTTATAGATATATGACAGATATATATATATGTATTTATATATATATACGTATATATGTATTGCTGTTTGTGTTTAACCAGCTCCTATACTCAAGGCCATAAGTGAGCTTTGATGGATACAGTGGGCACAGAAAAACAGCCTCTTTGAACGTTTGTAGATTAAAGATAAATACAAACTGAACCTTAATGGGTGCTGGCTTTCAATGGGAAAAAAATGCTATTTATTTACAAGCAGGGTCTGAGTTTCATTACGGACTCTTTGCCCCTTAAAATTTAGAGTAAAAGGAGTGCTGCTTGGGTGTGGAAAAAAAACTTCTCTGTCCATTCTGATCATGTGACTCTTGCTACCTTATAAATGGAAGAGCCCAAAGGTGGCCATTTTATACTTGCCCTGAATGAAAGCCTAATGGTTTAAATGCGTAGGCATGTTTTTATTGTTGTAATGAAGCCATGAGGAAATAAAGGCTTTTTAAATCACTGACCTCTTGAGTGCCTCAGATTTTGCCAAGAATCCATTACAAAACTTAATTGGGTCGAGTCCTTTTCTTTAGTTTTCTCCAAACTTACTGACTTGTTTTGCTCCATACAGCCATTTTAAAGTTTTTAAACTCACCTCAATTGTTCGAATATGAAAAATAAATCATGTTACATAGAGGTCGAGTATCTGATACAGTTAATATGAATACATCTATATCAACATCCCTAACCTTCAACCAACCCCAGTGTTAACATCCTGCACATTGTTTGCGCTCCGTCCACCCTTTGACTTCTGTGTTTCATTGGCCGTGAACATAAGACCAATCTAGATGTAATGTTGCTTGAGAAACACCTTTAGTATATATGTTATATTTAGGTAATATATACAACACGTGTAAAGAGACGGTGTTGTTAAATCCTGTTGTAAAGTTAATCATTGTGCTGCAACCCACCCTCTGTGTTCATCCCTGTGACATTGCCTCGTGACATTTGTCAGTCAAAGATGCATCAGTTCTGTCGAGAGAGAGAGAGAGAGAGCGAGAGAGCGTTGATCATGAAATAAGCTGAAGAAGAGGAGGGAAGAGGCAGGATCAGTGCTGTCAGTCCTGTCTGTCATTTCTCAGTAGATCATAGCCTGAGGTCTGGAGCATGAGCTGAATGATGATCACTTACTCTTCTGTGTGCTCTTCTAATGAGCAGCTCCCGGTGGAGCGGCTCTCTGTGAAAACCAACTGGGGAACGTCAGTGGGTGAGGGGGTGGGCAGAGGGGGTTAACCTGCATGCGAGCTCAGACTTTTGATTTAGTTTGGTGACTCTGGTGATTCTGTGCTCGTCCTCAGCTGAACTACGCTGAGTCCAGGCTGACCCAGCTGGAGGGCTGTCACTGTGAGAGGACATGCAGTGCCAATGGCCTGGTGTACCGGGATAAGGAGCTGTGGGTGGAGCCCGAAAACTGCAGGAACTGTGCATGTAAGGTGAGTGTCACACTCATCCTCAAGAATCAAAGGGTGAGGTGTCGGCTTTCAACTACCGCACTGTGAAAAATATCCGTCATATTCAGTATTTGAATCTGTTATTGAGCCCTAAAACTATTATTTTCTTCAAACAAATCTACCACTGCAGGAAGATGTAACCTGTTTACTGGACAAGTCAACTTGTTGTAAAGATTTCTGTTGCAATTTGTGTCAATATCTAGAGAAGAAGTGACTTAAAGCTAAGTTTAACCCTTTAATATCAAGTCTCCTTTTTATTTCCCCCGTAAGTAACTTAAAATTTAAAATTTTATTCTTAATTTTATTCATATTATTCTTTTTTTATATGTATTTTTAAGCATTTATCATAGTGACAGTAGGGAGATGGAAGCAAAATGAGAGATGGAGAATGGCCAGATGTGCACCAGATGTGCATAAAGGATGTTTAGGTTCAGGGTCTGCAAACCCCTAGGCCACCAAGGGTACCTCAACAGGATGATATATTCTGTATCAGCTCGTTTCAGCTCTTTGTTTAAGCTATATGATGTTTGCGAAGTGAAATATTCAAACCCAGGATGCCATGGTTTTTAACAAGTTGATTTTTATCTGAAACTGGTTGAAATTATTTCATCTAATGCAGTTTTCCAACTCTATGAAGGAAATGAAAATTTTGAGACTCAATAATAGGGAACAATGACTTAATAAGAAGAAGATTTTTTGGTGCATCATGTCAAATCAAAGGAAAAATTGTAGTAATGAAGGGAACACCAAAAATACAAATGACAAGATTTTTTAACAAAATAACCTCTGGAGCAGTTTCAGCATCACAGACTGATGATACAACATTGCAATCCTCCTCCACCACAACACTTAACTCATCCTCAACTTGCTTTCCCATCACACCTCCCTCTTTCCCAGCCCCTGCACTGTCTCCCTCTGCCTCCTGCCCGACACCCTAATAAGCGCCCCCCTAATAAGCCTCCCTGCCTGCACTCATACATAGGAGCCAGACTTTGAAATGTGTTGAATCAGACCATCCCGAGCCCTGGGGAATTAGACTTGCTGCATCATTGCACATCAAGCACAGGGTGGAGTTTAGGCAGTCTGATTTCCTCCTGTGGACATATCATTAACTGATAACCGCTGCATCCTGGGGGAACCATTTCCGATGACTCATGAAATGAAGAGGCGCGTGCAGAGAGAGAGGTATCAGACTCAAAAATGAAGGCAGTCCTTCAGGGCCTGAATAACTACCTGCTATCAGCAAGCTGCTCAATTTCAGTATTGGGCACCCAGTGTTCGATGATGAATCTGTTATCTGACTACCACATTATCATTTTTTTTTTTTTAAATATGATAGCTTTCAGTTTCAGATTGCAGTCCTGAAGGTGGGATTCTGAACAGTCAGGGGTCGGTTTATCATTTAGGGTTGGGCTTTAAGGCACATTGGATGAAACATACAACATGTGTTATACAGACAGATGACATGTTAGCGGGTGTTGGGCCACCACGTGTTGCTGGAACAGCTTTAATGCTCCTTGGCATTGATTCTCCAGGTGTCTGAACTCTACTGGAGGGATGGACACCATTCTTGACCACTCATGTCGGACCAGAATATTCCATAGGTGTTCAACTGGGTTGAGATCAGACTGTGAAGGCCACAGCATATGGTTCACATCATCTTCACCCCTGGTGCCCTGTGGATGGGGGGGGGGGGGTTACCGTCTGTATTGTTGTTGGTGGGTCGTGGAAAAGAGGGTGTCTGCTTCTAGACAAACATATAAAGCAAGTTCAATGAATTCTTCTGCAAATGTAAATTGAGACATAGAGGGAAGCAGAAGACATGTTCAGTGTGGAATTTTTTTTGGCAGTGCCACGGGCAAAAGTTGTACGTGCACGCTGAGCGTTGGAATTTTTTTCTTCTGATATCTGCATGTTTTTGGTGAGAGAGAAATTAAAAAAAAAATCATCTTCTTGCAGAATGGCGTGGTGGAATGTCGCAGGATTTTCTGTCCTCCGGCAAACTGTTCAGAGGACTCGCTGCCTGTGCACGTTGATGGGACTTGCTGCAAGAAATGCAGACGTAAGTATGAGCAGCACATGTTTGGAATGAGCAGGAAGCGGAGGAGACTAATATTCTACACCGCACGCACAGGTTCAGGTCAAATCAACCGTTCACATGGCTGATGATCCGTTTTTCTACATAGCAGTCATAAATAGGTGATCATGATATAAATTGGTAAAACGAATGAAATAACATTCATGATGCTCAGTCTGCACCATGGCCACTACCATTTTAATATCAATAAGTTGGTTTGTGTTTTTTCTCCAAACTAACAGACAGAGCTAAGAATGGTGTGATCTCTCCACAGCTGCTTTCTTGAAAATCCATTCTTCTCTATAATCCTTTTGGTTTTTTTATCAGTACATACATTATTAATCAAGGAACAGTAGATGAAGTTGTATCTTTTGCTGACTTTTTGTGGCAGTAAATCAACAATCTACTTTGCAACTGAAAATGGAGGACAGTCATTATTAGCACAACTGTGTGAGATGCCAAGTGTTGAATTAATCAACACGTTCTCCTCATGCAGACTCAAATCAGAATGAACATTGAGATTTTACAATGTGTAGACAGTTTAATACAAGGTGGGAATGACCTTAAATTAGGGAAGTAGTGACTGTTGATCTATTCTGAGTGGATGGTGAAGTAATAAAAGCAACAGAGCAGGACAGTTGCTGAATGGCTTCCAGTGAATGTAAAGATGTTGAGACAAGATAATGACAGAGTCGGTATATCAAGAGTTTGGAGGGTGGTGTTTTTTCTTTTTGGCCTTTTCGGAAACCAAAAACATGAGAGAAAAACTAAGTAATGGATTAAACAGTGTGTTTACCTGCTCTAACGTGAATCACAAACATTATCATCTCAGTTAAGAAGTGTACTACCTACACCACTAACCTCGCATTATCTCCAGAATTTAGAGTAATGCTATTGGAAACGTTATGAGTTTAAGCATTAGCTTAAACATTAGCTAAAAATCTGCCAGCAATAATCGTTTCAGTCGACAAATCTGCTTTTGTTTACTTCTGTGTGAAACTGAAGCTTCAGTAATTACTGCAAATCCTGCGGGGTGTACCTGCCACCTTTCCCTCTCTGGTCTTACCACAAGCTTTTTGCAGCGGTATAAAGTCATGGTTTCAATACGTTTCCGGTATATAAACAACGGACACATTCAAGTGTGCATTTCCTGTTTCGCTGCGATGTCCAGCTGGCTTCAGCAGATCAGAGGTCAGGTCAGAGTGCACCTTTGTTGGTCAATAGTGACACTGCTACACTGTGTTTAGATATGGAGAAGTTCACATACAAACTCCTCACCTTTTTCTACACACTAGACTGGATCAATATTAAATATATCTGATCAACATTTATTTACTTCCTGCATCAGAGAGGGGACGTCACAACCTTTCTCAGGGCCGATTGTGGTAGATTTAGTTGAACGGACAACGTAATGTGACCAAGACTTAACTGCGTCGTGATGCTGCTTGTTATTTGCTAGCAGGAGGAGACAGTCACTATTCGGACGACCACAAAAGTTTGCTTGTCAGGAAAAACATAAACATAGGTTGCGTTACGCATTTGAACAGATTACCAGCTCTGCCAGTCCTAAATACAAGCTCAGCTTTCTTCGCTTCACTGTAGTTTGTCCTTTTGAAGTTGCTGGTGCAACCACAACCAGTGTAGATACAAACAACACACCTTCTGTTTTGGTGCCTGATGTTCTGCCAGCAAAATGAAAACAGAGTAAACCATCTGCGAGAGCAAAGATCACAGCCGCTTATTTTCATGGAAGCATCATTTCTGGTGTAAAGCACACAGGTCTAGTAACTGCTCACAGAGCCACGAACAACTGTGTCTCTCTTGCTACGCTGCAAAAACAATAAATCCCTGAAGTATAGTCCGTCTTTGAATAATTCCAGCCCTCCTCCGCCTCCCCCCATTCCTGTGCTCACTCCTCCTTCCTCCTCTTCCTCCCCTGTGAACATCAGAGCTCTGGCACAGGCGAACGAGGGAGCAGCGCTCCAGAACTGCGACTGAGCGCTCCGCGGTCTTGCACCCTAGAGAGGAAAAAAGCAGGACTTCATATCATATGCCTCATTTTCTATTTCTGCTTTATTGCCAGAGGAATATGTAGAAGGGTCTCCTCTGTTGTATTCTTAATGCGCTGATACATTTCCTCTCCACTTATGCACACTAGCCAAGAACAAGTTTGTTTCTAACAGAATTAACTATGCAGAAGTTCAGGCTGGAAACTTTTTTTTTTCGCAGGGAAACTCAAAAGCATATTTCTCTATTGTTGAAAGTACCACAGGACCTGGTATTAGCTGAGGAAATATTCCATTCCTGGTATTTTATAGTTGCTGTACTTACCTTAATGGTGTGATATTGAAGCAGTTATGTTCTATTTTTCTACAGCAAAATGTACTTACATGGGCCAGACCTTCTCTGAAGGGCAGCACTTTTTATCCAGGAGCTGCAGGGAATGCAAGGTAACCTTTCTTTATACTGTACATTCTTTCTCCAGCGTTTAGCCTCTGCTCTCAATCAGATCACCATGCAGCACTTCTCTTTCAGTGTAAATGCGTAATGATTGTGTGTGGTGGACTGCTTGGCGTGTTATTTAATTATCCAGCGGGCCTTATTAGTTTTCCCTCCCTCCCCCAATCTGTTCAATCTGCTTTTTTTCCTCCTCTCTAATGGTGAGATAGCCAGGTAATTAGAATAACTTATGAAGGCAGCAACACAAAGCCCTGGTTTGAATTGGAGCTTCATCACTGTGTGGATTATAATTAAAGTCATTATTCCAGCTCAATATAGAACAGAGGTGAGCTTTCTTTACTCAGAGGCCATTTATCTTTAAAGAGAGAAATATTTTTTAAGGAGAAAACTAGCGTTTTATGCATGTAATTGCTTACAAAGAGCCACACAGTGGATTCCTGGATCCATTATTTGTCCTCAGAGACTCTGAAACATCATTATGCTGGTTGTAAGCTCTGTTTCAAGCAATTACAGCCATCCTTTAAACTCCTGGATGTGAGCGCTGCTAAATGACCAATTTGTGGACACATTATTTTTAGAAGAGACCCAAAAATGTTTTATTTTGAGGCTTTCGGGGGTCTCTGGTGTCAGTGCTCGGATTCCATGACAGCCCATAAATCTCAGCTCTACATTTCAACATGTGCGTGTAAGTATATGTGAACATGACGTGTGTATTTTTGGGTGGTTTCTCTCGTTCTCTGGTTAGTACTGATTCGATGCTGTAGCTTTCCTCTTCCTGACCGTCTCTCTGTCCTCTCACCCTCACAGCGGGCGAGGTAGGAAGTGAGAAAAGCAACCGTGAATATATGCATTCACATTTTGGGAGAATAAGCGAGAGTATGAAGGAGAGAGAGAGAGAGAGAGGGCCACATTAAGCTATTTTTAGATGGTGTGTGTGAAATGAATCATCATTTTGGTCCACAGCTAAAACCATTTGAATTAATTTAAAAGTCTGTTTTAGTGGTTTTAGGCCACTGACTACAAATCCTGTGTAGTTTAATTTAGATTTTCCAAAGCATGTTATCAGTTTTTCCTTAGCTACCTTCTAGGCAACCACTGGTTTCCGTTTAGCCAGGCAAATAACGGACAAACAGCACAAATAACTTAAAATAATTGCCACCTAAAGCTGGAGAATGTGTTGTGCTCTTATATTTACACATCAGAGTTCTCTCCCTGTAAAATACTATAGGCTTTAACTTGGAGAGCAGACATTCAATTAAAAGGAATTTTTTATTTGTTTGTAAAGCCTCCGTCTCATTTCAGTTCTTTTGATCATCATTTCTATTTTTTATGATAACACTTTCACGTTTCTTTTTTTTTTAGAGATACCATGATGCAGCTACTCTGCTTGACAGCTTCAAAACATCCAGACTTCAGCCTCCAGCATAAAAGTCAGATGCGTTATACAACCAGAGCCTCTACTCCAGCCTCCATAACCTTACACACTACTTCCTACATTGTGCTGTAAAATCACCCAATATCAACATGAAATTTTGCATTGCTTCTTTGGGGCTTGGCCATATTATAGCTACAGTTATAAATATAGTATTACAAAGCAGCTGGTGTTTTAACCTTTTACATTTCCTCCAAATGAATGCTTTTGATGATATGCTGAAAACAGCAGCTTATTCAAAACCTGTCTGACCTCTTTGCGCTGTTTATACAGATGGCCCTCAGGGTACCGCTGTGTCTGGCAGAGTTGCTGCATCCCTACATCTCAAAAATGAAACAAATCAATAAAATGTTGACATAATGGATAGGAATGCAATGAAAGTAAGTTTTTATGTTCAGCTTTTGAGGCTCTTTGAGTCACCTGAATGCCTTATTCTGCAGCCTGCATTTAAGGGCTAATTTCATCAAGTAAGAGCAGTAAAGTGGCTCTCTGGCTGCTGGGCAAATTGCAGCTTGCTGGGGAAACGTGATACTCATTGGGTTTTTTTTTTTTTTTTTTTTTTTTCTTCAAACCATCTCTTGTGTGCAGATGCGGAATAGCATCTCATCACAGTTACAGTGTTTTTCGCCGCTGGAAGGTGCTTTCAGTGTGATAGCTTGTTTTTTTTTTGGAAAATAATGTTGAAAAATAAACATGCTCCAAACACAACTGCCATGTGAAGTGAAGATGTAGTTGCTGCAAATTGGTTTTTGGAAGTTGCGAACAACTACAGATCTTTCTCCGCATTTCTAGCCAGTTGATTTTCTCTCGACCTCTACTATTGTTGCCTCTCAGACACTGTGAGTGACAGAAAAGCTGAGGTGCATCTGTTGTCAGTTGTCTCCACTCTACTTTACTCAACTATCAAACTGACTCTTCTAACTTTGTGGTAATGATAAGAAATCAAAATAGGGATGGGAATGGCTTCACACCAAATCTCAACGATGAAACAAGTCATTTCCTCTTGCAGTATTAATAGATGAAAAAATCCTGCTGAAATACAGCATATTATGTATGATATGTATATTCCTCTGTGCAGTTGAGTTTTACTTCACTAATGCCGGCAATTATCTCATCATGGCTTCCTGACATGATAGAGTAATAATAGTAATACTGAAGGTCAACAGAAAACTGACAACAATTTTCATAATTGATTTTTTGTTAAAGCTGGTATTTCTAAGTTTTGCTATTGCTACATAGCTAATGTTAGCATTAAGAGTTGTTTACAAACGTTGCAAATTCAGCATCAGATTTCATTCCTTAACTCGCCAACAGCTGTCTCCAGTGGTGGAAATGAACACCAATGTTACCTCTTGTCTCTATCACGTCTTTTCTTCTAATGAACTTAGCATGCTAACCAGCTAGCCCCAACCCGTTTTGTCACTTTCCAATAGCGACTCACTGCAGCCTTCGGTCTGTCCTGAGGACGTAGCGCTGCCTCTTGTCTTGTAAACGCAACAATGGCTGAAGTTCTTGTCAAGGGACAGTCACCGCCACCCGCTCCAGGCAGGAAACCACGTTCAGTGGCAGAGAAAACTTTTATAAATAGCCCCAAAACTATCAGGCAGACATACCAAATATGTGCTTCTCAAATGTGAGGATTTGCTGCTTTTATTGCAATATTATTTAGGTTTTTCAGACAAAAGACATAAAGACATCACCTTGAGTTCTAGCAACTCATGGTGGAGATCATTTATTTATTTTGACATTTTGTAAACTAGGTTAAACATCTGGGTCATCAATCAGACATATCATCTTATAAGGTTGTTGTGGCTAACATATGAGCAAACATTGTCAAGCAGACACAGGGTAAAGTTAGCATTAATCCTCCTTTTAGCGATGCTTTGTGCTCCACCAGCTCCTGAGAAAATGTCGCTCTGGCTCTTTTAGACTCGGCAGCTAGTGGCTCTGACTTTGTCTGTCTGCTAACAGCATTGATGAGAGGGGGCCTAAGCAAAAACAATGCTCTAACAGAAGCTAAAACATTGTGTAGCACTGCGAATTAGGTGAATTCTCTGTGGATTCACCACTACAATCAACATCTTTCACATTAGACACTTAATGTAAAAAAAATTGTGATTAGGGCAGCTTTAACAGATTAACTGAAAGACTGATTAATTTATGATGAAAGTGCTCATTACATAATTAGAAAATGATGTTACTGATAAAAAATGGTTCACAGTTCCAAGCGACTGTGGTGGTAAAAAATGAGGAAGCAGTTAATATAGTTACCTAGAAAAGCAAAACACTGATGGAGAAAAGCATCTTAGGGATTTGAATTGATACTTCACACCCTGAGAGGCACTGCAGAAACCACTGGAGCTCTGACATTCCCAGCCAGGCTGCAGCTGCTGCTGCTGCTGCTGCTATTTGTTTTGAAGATGACACTGAGTTTTATTCACCTTTGTTTCCCTGCTTCGGTGGCATGTTTTTGCACCTTACTTGCAGTCCGTATTCATGCCTTCCTTATGAATGTGAGAAGCACAAGCTGCCTTTACATTCTGCCTTCTCTGTTGTCATGGCAGCCTCATTCACCCAGGAGTATTTTAAAATACCCTTTTTTTTCTCTTTAAATATCTGAAAAGATTCTTTTAACTGTTGGTGTGGTTTGATATGTTTTAAAAGCAGTGTAATTCTGACCTTGTGACATTCAAATAATAAGGCTCAGACTGGCAAAATGTAGCTCCATATGTAGGCCTTTATGTGAGGTAAGAGAGCTTTGAAAATATTTATTAAACCTAAAATATTAAACAGGGGAACATTTGGATTGATTTGTAGGGTTAGAAAAGATGAAAGTTTGAAATCTTAAACATTTTCTGAATGCAATTGAGAAGTTCAAATAATGATTGACTGATTTGCCTCAAGAAAACACAGCCAGCTTTCAGAGACAGGCCATTATGTGACTTGCTCTAGCCACAAAATTTTTTTTTGCAATTAAATATTACTATTATAGACCATGTATAGACCAATCATTTAAATAAAACCTTACTATAATGTTGGCATCTCATTTTCTAATTGGTTTCCATATGCTGTAGATTTGCTCAAAAAACTCCCTGTGATTGATTCATATAGGCTGTAAGCCTCTCTCAGCCTGGTTTGGGTCTCAGGTGTTTGTGAAAACTGCATGGCCACTGAAAGACCAGTACTGCAGGCTGCGTTAACCCCTGGGTCACATGTACTTCAATGTGTGTAGAAATTGCACTACATAAATGGATACACATTGTTGCTACTCTCCATAGGAAAGCTTTATTTAACATCACTTATATTTTTTCTGTATTTTTAATGGTTCAAAGGGTGAAATGTGCATGGAATAGTATGGACATACACAAGTCCAACCATTTACTCTCAAGATCACAAGGTCATCCTTCTGCAGAATATCTCAGCACTGTAACTGTAATGTTTTGCCTCTGTCCTGTCCTTCCAGAATGGCCTGATGGTGAAAGTCACCGAAACTTGTCCAGAGATCAACTGCACCATCAGTGAACAGATCTTACCAGACGGCAGATGCTGCAATGTTTGCAGAGGTATCGCTTCCTTCTTGCTTTACTCTCCTCTGTTGCATGAATCACTCTCTTTCTTTGGACGTGCATGCACCAAACCCCTGCGGCTGCCGCGAGGAGTAAACACAGCCAGTCTGCCGGATGCTGATTCAGGTTGTGCCTCTGCAATAACTTTGTTTCCCTCCCTTTACACCAAGTAAGAATGCATCTTGGCTGGGATACCTATCAGAGCAGATTGGTCTGTCTGCTATAAAACACCTGCTATGCCAATTTGCCTGAACCCCGCTGCTTTGGCAGGGAGGTACTACAGGGTAAATAGCCACTGGTAATTCAGTAAATACACTGAATAAACAAACTGTAGGAGGCTGTCAGCTATAGAGCAATAATGAAAGAAACCCGGGGCAGGTTCTGAGCGAAGGAAATTGCACTCTCGTTTAGGTAAGATAAGCAGCATGCCTTAGATTCACCATACTCAGAGGAGAGGAAGATGAAAAGGAGCTAAAAGAGAAGAAAAAGACAGGATTTGAGTAGGGGAAAGAGAAAGCGAAAAGGAAGATGAGAGGGGAAAAGGTTTTTAGTGTAAAGGAAAAGACAGCGAGGATAGGAGGGAGAGGAAGCAAGGAAATATAAAATCTTAGACCTGCTTTTGTTGGAAAGTAAGGGGGAAGGGAGAGCGAGTGTAGAGAGTATAAACCACATGAGAGGAGAGGAGGAGAGGATAAAACTTGATATGTTGAGAGAACAAAGGAAAGAAGAAGGATGAAGAGAGACGGCAGGAGAGGAAAGGAAAAGAGAAGATAAGAATTAAAGAAGAATAAAACTCGGACTTGTGGAAGTAGACAAGAAAGTAGAAGACAAAGTGGAAGTGAGGGGGGGGGTACAGAGTATAAAGGAGAGGACAGCAGAGAGAGGAGAGTAGGCAAGAGAAGAGTTTAGACTGTAAGAAATAACAATTAAAGATTAGAGTCACAGTGCCTCTTCCCTACAACCCTCTCTTCTCTCTCTCTCTCTTTGTTACATACACACCCACAGGCGCTAAAACTTAGAGCCGCTCATTATTTTCAAATCATCTCCAGACCTCTTCTCCGTTGTGTGACTCAGTACTTTGCTGTCACTCTAAAATTTCCTTGTGCCTCACTGTTAGGTCCCCAGAGTCATGCTAGTTTTGTTAAACTGCTAATTACACAATTGCCACAGAGTGTTCACACCCTCTCTTTTACTGAAATAGAGAGAAAAAAATATCAAATAATTAAGTGAAGGACTGATTTCTGTGTATTACAAATCATAAATCCAACTATCACAAGTCAAAAACACAACTGCAAAGTATTTTTGTTTGTTTTTGCAGCAGGACTGTAGTTTATTGCATGCACACACATGCACACACTCCTGTGTTTTATTCCCTGTGTAATCAGTCCTTTAACTTGTACACACCGTTCTGTGGGGCTCGGGGTGAGAGGAAGGATAACGCAGACACAGCTCTTTCCTCAGTAATGGCTCCCCAGGCTCCCTGTCTCTCAGGGCTTTTATGTGCAGCCAGTCTGTCACTCATTACAGGACATGATGGGCTACATCAGCTCATACCTACTGAGGAGGAGACAAATCATCTCTCCGTCTGTCTGTCTGTCTCCTTATCTGTCAGACTGATTCTCAGTTCATCTGTCTATCTGTCATGTCACATTTTTTGTGCATGTGCAAGATCTCGGTCTAGTTTGGTTCAAATTTGAAAAGGATTGGCACCGTGGCACATGGCTGGTGCAGAGGTAAAGTTCCTGTCCAGCAACACAAGAGTTTCATGGTTTGATTCCCGGTGGCAGCACATATCAGGGAATACAAAGTGCAGGAGTTTGACGCCAGAGTCTGGGAACTGCATCATGATACACATGTGTGTTAAATACTTTTTGGTGGTTTTGGTTTAATGTTAATACACACATTAAACCAGTCATTTGTTGGTACCAAGACCATAGTCTTCCCCCAACCAAGAGTGTATGTCTAAACCAACAAGTCCTCCAACCTGAATAATTATATAGGTCGTTTTTTCCAACCCTCTGACACCACCTATATGAGTGTCTCCTGAAACACTGCCCCTACAGTACAAGGTATACCAGACCTTGGTTGGCATGGTTACCATAATAAACGGTCATGGCTTGGTTAGGTTTAGGAAACGATCATATCTTGGGTTAAAATAAGTACTTACTCAAGATTAGAGGGTCTTTGTTGTCATGGTTACAGTAATAACAACATGAACACCACTCTCCTGTGTCTTATTCCACATCCATCCATCAGAACCTCCTCCTAACGTGAACTCCCTTTATCATCACTCCCTTAACATAACTATGGGATAATAACAGTGAATGTTGTTAAATAACATTTTGTTGTGTGCCTTTATTTTGAAATTTCTATGTCGGACTTGCAGCATCCTTTTAAGGGTGTGGTCTTTTGTGTCTCTTGTCCTCATTGGATAACTGATAAAGAGTCGGCCATCTTGTGGTGTATATGAAGGCAGTGCCATGAAACACCTCGACTCCTCTCGTCAGACAGTTAGTGTTACAGTCTTTTGTCACATTTGGTTCTCTTTGCTATTTGAGCACCATGTTCATACAATATTCCTTTAGAATAAGCACATCAGCACATTTGACTCACATTTTAACACAAAACACTAGAGGAGCACACTAGTGACTCTTTAACTCTATTGGCTGGATGGATGACTTCCTCTGTTTTTTTACTTTCATGGAAGACAAAACTTTATTATTGCACCAAATCTACTGCAAACATAAACTTTATTCATAAGGCCTCTTGTCATCCACAATGTTGTGGGTGACGGGAACAAGGTTATTCATTTGTACATTTGTATGCTTTCATCTCTGTGCGCAGTTTTGTGTGTGTGTGTGTGTGTGTGTGTGTGTGTGTGTGTTTTTGTGCAGATCTGTACACGATCTTTCACTGCCTTGAGTGAGCAAATTTTAAGAGCGACGTAAATCAAGACTTCCTTTGGTCCTCTCTTTCAGGTTATGACTTCTGCGCAGAGGGACTCATTTGTGGAGAAAACTCAGAGTGTAAAAACCGGAATACTAAAGCAGAGTGTGAATGCAAGAGCGGCTATGCCTCCATCCACGGGGATTCTACTTACTGTGAAGGTAGGTCTGTACTTTAACCCAGCTCAGGCTCATGTGACTGACTTATACAGACTGAGTGCCGCAGACTTGTATTGAGCTGATATTAACAAAGTGTGTGTGTGACGTGATGATGACTGGCTATAAGGGGAATAACGCTTGTTCTGAGAAAGCACTGAGGCCTGTGAAACATTGATGGCTTGATTTGTCTGTTATGTGAAAATGTGACAGTGGTTGAGGTCAGTTCATTACTGCTGACCATTTTACAAAGGATACAATGGAAAAGTAACACACACCAATTGGTTGTAATGAGGTGCTGATCACTGGATATAAACCTAAGAGCAGGAAGAAAGTGTCGCACGATCTGGCTCCATATGTATTTTTCTTTTATTCAAACAGACGACATCTCAGTCCTTGGGCCATCTTCCAAGATCTTGAAGAAGGCCTGAGGAATAAAAATGTAGACATTTGTAAAAATTAAAATATCATCTAATGGTAATGGAGCTTTGAGCTTTATTGTAGTGTGATCAGTGAAGCTTTGACGTGAGGCTCTAGGTCTTCTTCCTTTGACAACTGAGTGAACTTATTTTAAGTTGCTCCGGATAAAACCATCTGCCAAATAAATGTCATGTGATGTAATCAAGGGTTCAGAGGCGGATGCTGAAAAGACTCACATTCAAGAGCTGAGCTGTTGGAAAATAAAACTCATAAGATAAATAATAAGAAAAGAATGGACAGAAATGAATTTGGTAAGTTCTTGCATTAAAAACACCAGCCATGTTTGCAGCTGCACACACAATAATGCATTATCTATTTGAAGTCAGTTTGATGTTTCTGCAAGTTGGCCTTTGTACTGTAGCATCCTGCAATGAACTAAAAATGATAGACTGCCTGCAAACGACAAAGCATGGTCTTTACGGTTGTTGTTGTTATTATTTTGCTCATGCTCACATTTCCTGCTCAGATGAAACTTTTGCTGAGATTTAAACCCAACTTGCAGCAGAAAAGCTCCTTTTTGTATTTGAGACGTGAACCCTGGTCTGTGGAGTGGTCTTCACTTTTCCTCGAGAACCTATAATCTGAGTTTGGAGACGTCTAATCTGATCGAGATCCCGGCCTCTTTGAAAAACTCATCACGAACAGTGTCGGCGTGCTTCCGGTATGCTGATTGTTGGACTTGGCAGAGTAAAAGCCTCAGTCTGTGTGTGCTTGAGACCCAGAGTACTTGTGATGGAGCCAATGGCCTTATTTGATTAAGAGGCTTGGGAGCGGCAGTCGGCGGATTGAAGGATTTGCTCGATGCTGGATGCAGTTGTCTTTGGGTCGGAGCCACAGCAGACTGAATACATGAAACATGCTGAAAGCTGGGGTAGCCGCAAGCCCTCCAGTCTGTTTGCGTCTGTTTGATCTGCATGGTAAAGGGGTTTACCCAGAGCTCCGCTCCAATCCACAACAGTCCCACACCATATGAATGAGGGCTGGGAAACGCTGATTGTTAGATCAACTTTTTATATCGTGGAGCCATGGATCTATTGGTTATGGCGGCATTATCCATGTTTGGGGGTTGGTCCCTAAAGGCAGCTCAAACCTCTATTGTAAATGGATTAGCTAGAATCCTGCTGTACAGTATGGTGATATTTGACATGGTTTCACTCTCACCTCCAACTTAAATTGGCTTATGATAACAGCAGACTTGAGTAATCGCATCTTTTTTTGTTGTTTTTTTTATTTGAGATGTAAACAAAGCTCAGCAGTCTGATGGGGGCATCAGTGTTATCCTAATAGATGTTTTACATAGCAAATAAATGTATCCTGTTGTATTTCATGAACAGGAGAATGTGTCTGGCTTTGTCTCTAAGCTGTCATTAAACATGACCATTATATCCTCATAAATGTTTTAATGTGCAACTAAATGATCGAATATGAGATTATTTACCTGTAATCAGAGGACTGTCTGAGGATTTCAAAGCGAGGCAAGACTGCGCTTTCTGCCTTGCCTTCAGTCACCTTGTGGTACTATAATTATTCTCTCCCTCTCATTAAGCTGAATACCTAATTACAGTTGGATATTCCGGTGGGGTGTTTAGTCTCCAGTGTGTTAAAACTTTGGATAAGTGCAGAATGAGGCACCTCTCGTCTGTTGGGAAATGTGACCTCAGTCTTTTTTTCCCATGTAAACATGATGACTTATATCAGTATATGTCTGGAGTGTTTGCTTTTATAAATACAAATATCTTAGCTTAGCTGTGGATTAATATATATTTCTTCCAACTCTAGACATCACGTGTTGGATATATTCTCGCTGTTTGTATAGTCTTGTCTTTTGAGGTCAGTTTAGTTAGCTGCAGGTATCACCAGAACCCAGGGTTTTTGCCTTAAGTAGTTTAAATTTTGGGAAATCTGTACAATAGAAACTCTTGTTGAAATAGCTACAGGTAGTCGCTGGTTGCACTGTAACCGCTGATTGTTTTTGTTTTTTTTGGCGACAGCCGGTACCAAAGCATCCATTCGTCCCGTTCTTGTGAAAGCGATATCTCAGTAATCCCATTAGGGAATTTCTTCAGGTTTGGCACAAACCTTCACTTGGACTTGAAGATGAACCAATTAGATTTTGTTGGTCAAAGGTCAAAGTTCAAGTTCGTGGTGACCTCATATTCTTTTGAATGCGATATATCACGAACAGCCAGAGGAAATTTCATTACATCTGGTACAAACATTCAACTGGACTGAATGATGTACTGACTACTTAAAATTTGGTGGTCGAAGGTCAATGTCACTGTGACTTCACAAAACATGTTTTTGGTCATAACTCCCAATAGGTCATAACTAATAGGAAAGAGTGATGACATTTTAAATCCAAACGGTCAAAGGTCGACTTCACTGTGACATCATAACGTTCTGCAAAATCCCTTCCAGCCATTATTCAACGCTGTAACTCAGGAAGAGGAGACTGTGACCATGTTTTCTGCAACTTGGCTGGTTGATGGAGTGTTACAACCACAAGGCAGTAATTCTAGTTTTGTTTTTTGTTTTTTGTTTTTTTATAATAAAAGTGAAGTCAATCAATGAACCTGCAGATTACTGTCTGTCTGCTGCAGCATGCATTACACAGCCCTGATTTCTACACCCAGCAAGAGAATGTGGCGGCTGTGTTAATATTCAAAGCCATCTGCCTAACCTCAGAGAAGCCAGAAATGTGCATGCATATGCAGAATCTGCACGCATGTAGAAGCACAAACATAGGTTATACTAATGATGGCTTGTGCCTTGCTAGCCTGCCCACCACGGCCTGTGTGTTTATTTACTCCATTAAAGATGTATTACTGCATATGGGCTGACATCTTTCCAGATTTAAGAGATGAGTCCAGTTGGAAGCATTGCCGTGCATACTGGATGTTAAGACAGCTGCTCCTCCTCTCTAGCTGGAGAAATAATTTCTAATCCTGGAAGAAGCTTGGGAGAAGGCAGCGGTTGCTATTGATTGGTCTTGTCAACACTCAACAGCTCAAAGGATCCTACCGGGCTAACTGCTGGCTTGCTGGCTCTGTCTCAGCAACAGCACAGACACACGAGGCGCAGTAGACCAGGCTTCAGTCCTGATGGTCTCTGCATGAAATAACTGTTTGCACCAAAGGTCATGTTCACAGTTACCTGAAAGATCTTTAGCTCTGCGTCCATTACCTTCTTTCGTATCCACTGAACTCTATGAGCAGCACGAGCATATTAGACACTACACATAAAATAAGACGCTTGTTATTGCAGAGTCGGTGATTGCCACATTGTTACCTCAGCTGATGTATCCCATAATTCTACTTCCTAACCTCAGTTGCTCAACGCAGTCTCTCACACTTCTGCATACTTCTACGATCTTCTACTATATAGGAAACAGTGAATGTACAATGTTGAAAGAGAGAGAATTTCTAATGTTATCTACGGCTAGTCATGCACAATTCAGAGTGGAAACCATGCTGCAAAACAAGATGTCTCATCCATTATGTAAGTGATAATACACAAAAATAAATACATAAAAAAAACAAGGTGGAGGTGAGAGTGACATTTCCATTACATTTTGGCATGCTTACCTGAGGTTTTGCTATACATTCGAACACTGGTGAAACAGTTATATATAACTACAGTAGGTGTGAGATATTCTAATATACAATTATATTTTAGCTAGTAATAAATGTGCGGTTGCCATAGTAAAAATGGTGCTGTTCACTAAGGTGAACAAATGGAAAAACTAAAAGACAACTGATGAACTGATTTTTATTGTGACATGATGTAATGTTATATCATGAGCCGAGGATGTAACAGATCCCACATACTCGCAGCATATATCTATCTAAGTCCATCTGTTAGTATGTAGTGACACAGCACACAGCAATCAGTAGCTTGGATCAAAGCTGTTTAATCAGATAAATCCTGTGAGGCAGGATGGCTGTGAACGCTGTAACAAAGGTGATAACGTACTAATTACCACTGACAAAAAGCACTGACTACATCTCATGGGTTGTGTTCTCTTTCCACCTCAGTGTCACACCACCTGATGCTGCTCCATTCAGTACATTGCAGTTTTTATCATTTGTGCTAATGGGCTTATCATGGGCTTTTTATCCACACCAGCTTTTTGTTTATGCTATCAGTGAAATTCTTCTTCGAGTCCCAGCAGATCTACTGTATCCTCCCTCAGCTCCAGAGGACACAGACGTGAACACGGTTGTTGTCTTACCACATTTTAATTGTGGCCTAAAACATGTCCCTTTTTTTGTGAGAACTCAATGGTTTGCACCCGCTCACAAAGAAGCTCCAAATAAAGAAAGTGTCAGACCTGCTGATGTAGAAAATGGTTGCATCAGCTAAGGACAAACAACATAATTCCCTGTTTCCTAGCAGAGTGCTACAGAGACCCTCCTCCCAAATGGCCGCTTGTTACCACAGAGGCTGCTCTGTATTTTTTCTTTTTCCCATGCTGGGTGAAATCCCAGCATGGGTCTAATGTTAAACCTAAGTGCACCTAGATGGTG